AGTGAATTTTATTATATCAGATTAGGAAAATTGGCTTCTGAAGAATTAAGAACACAAAAAACACCCTTTTGTGAGAGTTTTTCTACCTATAGTTTAAAAAAATACGTTTGTGCCTTTAGACCATCATAAGTGAACCAGCTAAACGACAGAAAACTAAAGACAAATATAAAAGGAGGATACAGAATAAAGCGTCCATAATGGTTACTATTATTCCAACTAACCTAAAGGAAACTTCATAGAGAGTTTAACACTAGGTAGGGAGGCGGGACTTAAATCCAGTCACTTTACTATGTGCTCTCTGAACCAGAGTTGTATATAAACAACTTCCGATACATCGGAAACCATCTTTTTCTTCTACCTCATGGCAGCTTCTAGAATAGTCGTTGTACGGCATTAGCAGTCTGACAGCATGTCTGCCAATACGACAGCGACTCGTTGTCACTCTTACAAGAACTATTTTCTATGGAATTTCAATAGTGTTTGCCTACACTTTAGCCAAACCAATAATGCTAAATATAACCCAAACAGGGCTTTCAGGTCGAAAACACGGGTGTAATATAAAGTTCTAAGTGGGTCCACGTTTTAATTGGTAAGGGCAATCATAACATCAAAACATATTTTTGGAAAACTATCCCAAATAAAATAAAATTTTCACTTGGTTCACTGCTTGTGGTTTTTGACTTCACTGTAGTTTAGACGCTAACCCACAATATCACATAGAACGAACTTGTGGTTTTGGCTTCACTGTAGTCGAGACGCAAACCACAATATCAAATAAAACCCACATTTCGGTTTTGAGTTCGAAATCACCTACTATTCCAGAAGCGGCAATCAAGACAAACAAAATTTTAGTGCATAAGATTCTACAAGAAGACAGCCATATATAATAAGCCTTTGATGGGACTTGAAAAAAAAACTTGAAAAATCAGATATAACACAGAAAACAACGAGAAAGCATACAATCTAGTTTCAGAAAGACCAAAGAACTCTTGGCTTTTTCAAAATTTTATTAAAGCAGAGAAAACTTGAGAGATGTCGTTGAACTTAAAACGCCAGCAATTCAGGTGATCGGCTTTAGGGATATACACCATAAAATTATTAATATTAAGCATAGTGTCGGTGGTTTGTTGGCCAATATTTTTTTTTTTTTTTTCGAAATCCTACTGCAAGAAAAGGGAACTCACATATCAAAAGTTATAGAAGAGGCTTTTTTCTATGCTGGAATAACTTTGAGCAAGAACATTTGAAAAACATTTCGAAAATGGTTTAATGGGTTTTCGAAAACACCTTAAAACATTTTTCTACATAATTTTAGCCCAGGAAATAGTATTACAATGCTGCCCAACTAAAAAGCAAAATATTTGAGAGAAGTTTAGTTCATTGCCGTTTTGTAAGAAGGAAATTGCTTAACAGAAAGGTTCGATTTCGATTTCAAAAGTTAGTAAAACAAAAAGTAGTGATTTTTTCGACTAATACAATATTCGGTTATAGGTACAGGGAGTTGAGACCAAACTAAGACACATCTGAAAATCATAGTAATGTTAAGACTTTTCAGATGTGATGCTGTAAAAATTTTCGTTTCTACAACGTACTCAAACATAATTTTTGTCAATTTGTTGGTAGTAGGTGAAACAGATTATATGCGGGAAGGCATAGAGCTAGCTTAAAAGAGGTAGCTATTGATTTAGAGGACACAAAAATGCTGTTTTTCGAAATACGAAGAAATTAATTATGTATGTATTGAACAAATAGTATATAGTATATAAAGAATTTAGGTATTTATGTATCAAACAAGTATCGGTAAGCAGTCCAATGCATGCTTATCACTAGAAAAACATAGCGTGGCATTTAACCTGTAGTTATTTGCACTTTTATACAAATTGGTATATATCATATATCGGACATAGCTACAAAACAGATACTCATATACATATCTGATATTTCATATAAGTATATACATATAAAATGGACATCGGGTACAAGTGTAAATTTTATACATAGGCAACTATGATGTTATGGAAATTATAAGTCTATGTCTATGTTATTCATATATTATATTTGTATATACTTGTAGGTATGTATGTGCTTGTATGCTAATGCTCAAAGCATATTGAAATATTTATAAGCATTTATACACACGCACACACACACACACACAAGCTCAAGTAACAAATTAGCAATCTTTTGCTTTAACTAAATTATTCCATGCAAATATTTATGTATAGGAAACAATGTACTAATGTAGGTGGTAACTTCATTAACTATTAATATATATGCTAGTCTATCGGGAGTCAAAGTACATATGTAGTTATGCATAACGGTGTAACCAGGCTGGCTGGTGAGTTTATTTGATGCTTGCATAATTTTTGCGCAATTTCACTATAACTATACATATGTAAGTATCCACCAGTGATGTGGATATACTTGTATAAGAGTGTGCAAATTTAATGAATATTCATGGAATTTCCTCAATTTTAGTTACACTTTGTCTAACACTTATGTAAATAAAACTTATAATGATTCGCACACACACACATGTGGAAATTTCCAAAAATAGTTGCGCTTGTGTAATGAAATAGTTATGCAAAAATGCATAATTATGAGCTTGAGTTTGGCTCCCTCAGGTCATGCATTATTATATATGGAATTTAATAAAGAAAGAAGAAAAAAAATTCAATGCTAAATTTGGTTGATATACATTGTCTAATAAACAATTTTTTTTGTATAAGAACTTGACTTTTATCCGTCGGTTTGTATGACAGCTATATGCTATAAAAGCGGTTCCGACAAATGAGCAGTCTCCAAAAATGAGATACTACTATATTAATTGAAAAGTCCCCGGCCTGAAACATAGACAATGTTTAAAAAGCCGTAAACTGTAAAAATTGTAAAAATTAAATTAATTAAATGTAAAAATTGGCAGCTGCCAGATCCTTAGTTCGCTCATTCCATGAATTATTCCATTTAAAGTGACGCAACTTTGGTTTTTGTGAAAAAAAAAATGTATACTAAGAAATTTCGCATGATGATAAAATATTGCTTTTTGGAGAAAAAAATACAGTTTATACAAATATTTGGCTTGATGACTTGCCTACGTCCACTGCTGCAAGAAAAGCAATCATCAAGGATTGGTGTGCTTAGTTTAGACGTAGTCAAATGAGAATCGAAAGCGGTGAACGCAGTGGATGCCCAAACGTGGTAGCTATCGACGAAAACATCACAAATGATTTTAAAGTGAAGTTCTTCAAGATAGGAGACTTCTAAAGATATCAACTGAACAAGTACATACATTATACCATTCACGAATCTTTGGGTATGAGAAGACGGCGCGGTGCAGTGTTTGGAGATGTTGAAGCATATTAAACCAAAGTTTTTGCATCGATATGTGACAATGGATGAAACATGGCTTTACTCCGAAATCCAATCAACAGCCATCCGAGCGAACTTCAGGCGATAAACACAATCTAAAGCATGAAAAAACCCAAGAGTCGGCTGACAAGGTTATGGCGTCTGTAATTAGGGATGCGCATGGAATAATTTTAACTGACTGCCTTGAAAAAGTAAAAAGCATCAATAGCGACTATTACGTAGCGTTATTGTACCGTGGGCGAAGGAGGAAACCGAAACCAATGAAAAACGACCATATTTCCAAAAAAAAAAAAAAAAAAGCTGTTTTACCAAGACAATGCGGCGTGTCACAAGTCAGTGAAGACGACTCCAAAAATCCAAAAATTTCGGCTTCGAATTGCTACCGCATCCAATATATTATATTGACTATTTCCAGTTCTCAGACCACAAAAAAATGCACGCTAGGAAGTAATGTCCGTTGATTGAAGAGGTGATCACCTAAACAAAGGCGTATTTTGAAGTAAAAGACAAATTGTACCAAAAATATATTAACCAAAAGTTGGAGTAGTGAGTAAGAATGAAGCAGAATCAGAGAATGACCTTTGAAGGTGCATAACTTCAGGATCTAGTCAAATTTTGTCAAATCATTCATATCTTCCTGCGCGAAGACAAACGAAATCGGATCGCAACAACGCCCACTTCCCTTAAAGCACAATTTTTGTTCCAATACAAACTTTGTTTTGTGGTGTTTGGCTTCACTTCACTTCACAAGTCATAAACCCATATAGCCAAAAGTGTGATAAAAACTTCGTTTAGTGGGTTTTGACTTCGCTGTAGCCGAGTCGCGAACCAATGAAATTAAACTATAGTCTTTAATTTTAAATTCTATTTTTCACGTGCTATAATGCAAATCAAGCACCCTAGGACTAAAAATTCTAAAAATCTGACCAAAACTATGCAAGTCCCTAAATACCACATATATGGATGACAGTTCTAAAATTGAACTTTTTATTGAAAATATTAATTAATTCGGAAAAAATGCTGACTTAGTAATAGTATAAGTTGAATCGATTCAACAAATTTCTTAGCCCCCATACTATACCTATTAGAAAGACTTTCGAACTTCCAGTCGGTCGGTTAGCCACCAAAAAAAATTAAATTCTTCTAAACTATTGATTAATCATGTAGATTCTAAAGAAATTTAATAACCAAAATTTATAAAAATATTTTTATTACTATACAAGAATTAAAAGTATTCCTTAAGCTTTCCCTGCTACACTCATATCTTTGCTCAAATCTATATGACGGACCTCATAATAAACTAAAAATTCTCCATATATCAGTGCACAAGCGCAAATACCTTGAAATACATTTTACTGTAACCGGAATTTTACGGTATTTAACATTCATAAAATATATGAAAATTCCATAATTAAATGTGAATTTCATATTACGCCAAGCAGAAACCCAAACCACCTAACCAACCAACCAGTTAGCCGACCAAATAAAAGGAGCCATTCAACTCTAGAGCGACTAAGTCGCAAGGCTTACGCAGTTGTATATTTATATATTTCTATATACATATAAGTGATATAACTACCATTATAACCATTCCTGCGTATATACATATCAAAATTTGCATGTGTACTTACCTCTTTCCGCCTACAGTCTCATTTGGCAAGCGTTTTTCTCGTTTGCTGTCGGCTGTTGGCTGTCGTCGTCACATATGAATGCCGAAAATGCTGCATATTTTTGTGTATTTGTATTCGTAGTTGCAACTGTAAAATAAGATTTATATGCATGTAATTAAATTTTGAAAATATCTAAAGCAGAAGCGTGTAAGCTAACTTTCATAGAAGTAATTTACATGTGCTTTTCATAATATTAAGTGTGCGTTTGTGTGTGTGTGCGGTTTATTTGTGTAGGTTGGAGTGAACTGTGCGTGCAGACTTAATATGTCAACCATATATAGTTTTAATATATGGAAACTCTATTAGTCATGCATACAAATGAGTTTTATGACAAAAAATCATATGAAAATGTGCTTGGCTGCACTTGACTAAGCTGCAAAAAGGATATTTATGAAATTTATGCAAAAGAGTTAGGAATGAGCTACTTTCTGGCACAAAATTACTTTCATAATTTTCATGCATTAATGAACGGAAGTTTAAAAAAAAAATAACGCTTTCGGTCAACCTAAGAAGACTAAACGAAAACTACATAAAATTCTTTGTCTTTCGTTAGTGATAGAAAAGATTGACAAGGAAAGGGGAAAAAATTGTAAACCGCTACTAGAAATGCCTTGCTGTAAAAGAAAAAATACACTAAGGATGTTAAAAGAAGGAAACTATGAATAATTTTTATCGCAAAGAAATATATGTACATATATGATAGAAATATCTATACATTGTGAGAAAAAAGTACCCGTAAATCTTTGGAAATATTTAATTATTCAGTCGTCTTCAATGTAATCTTCACTAGACCACTAGACAAATGCCTTTTTAGGATGGCCTTTAGTTCCGCAGCTTCTTCAGCAAATTTTCTTTTATCTCTTTGAACGACTGAAAACGGATTCCATTCCGATGATTGTTGACTTGTTTGTAAGTCAAATTCATAAACCAATGTCTCGTCGGAAGTCATAATGCTCTGTATGAATGCTGCCGCCCTGCACGTTGAACTTTTCTCTTTATTGAGCCTGGCGTTTAGCATTCGAGCGTCGTCGTGTTTCATCAGTCGCTTCCAACACATCGCTGCCATTTAGCTATAATTCCTTCCGCGATTTGGTTTGCAAATCACGGAACCGTGTATGCGTTCGGCTTGCCCCCATTTTTGCCGTAATCCGTATTATACTTTTCTCCTCTTCTTTCGTCCGGTTGGACTTGTAGCTATAGCTTTCGTGAACGTTCCCTGCCGATTTAGACATCGATTTTGCTTTCAACCCCGCCTTACTTGGTTTTTGTCTCGGCTTGCTTATTTCTTGCCGATATAGCACTTTTAGCATCCCACGAAGAGCGAAGCAAAGCTTTTTCCTGGGTAGTATTGACGTTTTCCAGGTCTCAATTTTCATGGCGACTGAAGTCACTGTGCCCGCCAACGTTAGAACCCACTTCTCCCATTGATGTTTGACGTGATATCTAAGACCAGCTTGCTGAGTTCAATTTTCAGGGGTCATCGCTATCGTTTATGCCGAGCAAGTTACCACGAATAGGCTGCCTATGCTAAGGCCTGCTCTAGAAACTCGTTCAGGTGTCAATCAGTGATGAGGACAGTAGGAACGGACATTGCCTCCGTTCCCACAACAGTCGGTTCAACTCGGCGGAAACAGCTAAAAGGATTTCCGCATACTAAACATTTGAATGAAAAAAAGTGATTGCTAATTTTTAATTTTAAGAAACAGCTACTTCGAACACTATGCTTTTGCTTTCCAACTGTCTCATGGAAAATTACGCTCGTTTCTCGTATAAGTGACGTCACTTTAGCTTGAAATGAAGTCTATTTCAGAAAATGAAACTACCAGCTTCTTAGAAGAAGTGCAAAGACTCTTTAAGGGCTTCAATATATAATAATTATATATATATATTTTTCTATACGAGTATGTACATACATATTCAAAAATATTTTAGGAACGCTTAAACAATTTATAAAACTTGGACAATTCCAACAAACATAATATTGGTACAAAGGTCTTACATTTACTTGTACAATAGACAGTATTGGTGGTCTCTGCTAAATCTGACATTTCTATAAAAAATATATGTAGCAATTCCAATTTTCATTCATTCTCAATTTATTCTCCATTTTGAGCTAAGAAGAGGCGCTAAAATGAAGCTATTGCGATCTATAAAACCTCACCTCTCTGGTCAATGCCTCTACAGTGCTCTAATAACTGCTCAGAGTACCAAATACCATTCTAAGCAGCTTAGTACAAGTCCCAATGGAATTGGAATACAAGTATGTATATAAAATCAATTTCATTACGCTTTGCCACTAATACAACACTGTCTAGTTCCGCGTTGTTGCCAGCATACCAAGCACTTCAATTCTAATGAAATTTCAATTCGCTTGTAATAAACTGCAACTTACAATTTGGAAACTAGTTGCGTGCAACACGAATGCACGGACGCACGCATTGTTGCAGCTTATAGCAATTTCGTCGTGGCAGTTCAGCGCTGTCGTGTGGCTTGCTATTTGTCACGTCTAGGCACGTAGCGCTGACGGTACACCGCGTAAGTATTATAGGTGTTGCTAAAGAGAGTGCAAGATGTGGCAAAATGAAGCGAATTGTGTTACAAGCGGCAAAACGCAATACACTTAAATGCTACAAAGGCATAATGAAAAGGTACACAAATGCAAGTAAAGTGGAAATTGCAACAAAAGTTAGAATTATGTTGAAGATTGAGATGGCGTGTGCATGTTCTTACAGCAGTTATATACATAGAGAAATTAATGACTTTTTGTAAAACTATAGCACGGTAGGGAAGCCAAATACGCGAACCGTACAAATTATTGGTATAATTCACATAACTGGTATAAATAAATAAATTTTATAGATATATATTGACATAACTGATATAAACTGAATAACAAGCCGTTGCATTAATTCAATAAAATATTTGCATTACCAACTGGCATAAATCACTAAGAAATCACTTAAACTGCTATAAATAAATTATAATTGCATAAAAAATTCGCACATGCAGTTTTATGCTTAGAAAAATAATAAGATTATTGTACGAAAGTGAAGCCAAGTAAGCGCATTGTACAAATAATTGGTATAAACCACATAAACTGGTATAAAATAGATATTATATATATATAGATACAGATGAAGCACTTTGATTAAAATTTCGTAACAACTGGTATAAGTCATATTAACTAGTATAAAAATTAGAAATGAAGAGCAAGCCTTTATATTACTTGATTCAAATATTTGTAACACCAACTGGCATATATCGCCAAGATATCGCTTAAACTTGTATAAAAACTTATAAAATTATTGGGTTAAATGAGAAGTGCATAACGAATGCGTACATATGTAGAATATATATTAGACATACAAACTGGTATAAATCTCTTTGTAAGCGAGTCGTTTAAAGAACAGGTATAATAAATTACATAAACTGGTATAAAAAAATGTAGTTGCAGCACATTAAATAGGTATGCGTAATAGCTGGCGTAAACTTCAAAGACTAGTAAAAGAAAAAGAGGTTGAAAATCAATAGTTATACCAACTAAATTGGATGTTGGTAACATCAACTCGTATAAATCAGCGAATAAGCGAATTACACAAAAAACTTTTATAAATCACAAAAATTTTTAAACAATAATATGGAATACTTCCAGCCATTATAACGTTATTATTTGTAACAACTGGTATAAAATTCATAAACTGGTATAACTAGTTTAATTTTTAAAAGCAAGCGCATATACAAACTTTATCATATATTCGTGTCAAAAACTGGTATAAATCTTACATCATAATATTATACCACTTTAATTTTCAAAACATATACACCCTCTTTATAAGCCTTATTGCCATATTTATAATTCGCAAAATCAACTGGTATAAAATTTTTAAAATACATATATTTCTATATAAACAAATAAGGGTTAAAAGATAAGCGCTTATACAAATAATATATAATATGTAGATTTGTGTTTCTACATAAAACTAGTATATTAAGATCATTAGGTATTTATACCACTTTAATTAGGTCTGCTCAAATTCTCTAGCATTGAACTCGAAGTCATTAATTCGAGATATGACGGGTATAAAATTCATAAACTGGTATAAATTTTTTTTTAAGAAAAACGTGTATAAGAAAAATCTATTAAATACTTGTACCAAAAACTGGTATAACCGAATATTTCACCTATGTACGTATATATACTACAATACCTACAAAGTTAAAATCAGATTTAATAAACTGTTATTTTCATAGCACACATCTCGGCGCCAAATAATTCAGACTATTTAATTTTTGACAATTCTTAAATGTAGATTAAAATCTAATCGGATAAGGTACACAATTATTTTGTTCTTGAAAAATGCACAACTTTGGCAGTGCCACAAAATCAGCACGTCATTTTTTTTAATAGCCGTCAGCGGTGAAATCTGTATACTTCAGTTATGTGCTTTCTGTCAACGAAGTGATTTGGAGGAAGATTTCACGCTGTCACAAAATGGCTTAAAAATCAAAAAGTATCACACGTTTTCCTCCAATAGTTGCAATTGTATAACGCACGCTTTATCTCACCTCTACCGTAGTTACTGTTCAGCTTATACCTTATTATTGTTATCTTATAAACCATTTAAATTTCCTTAACTACTTATGTATGCTAGTTAGACGAAAATTTATTACCTCAGGTATCCTTTTGTCTGCAAACAAGGCTATAGAAATTTTACGGTTAACAACATACATACCTACATATATACGACTAGGTGCTGTGAAAGCCGACAGACAAAAGCCAAGTGGAAAAACAATAGATAACAACTTAAAATGTCAGGCAGACGACGAGTCGTGACGAAGTAGGCGAAAATGAAATGAAAGTGCCAAAAAAAAAAATCTTTAGAAGAGTAGTTGGACTTGCAGCGCATAAAGAATACTAAGTAAGGGTATTTCACGAACTACTCATAAGTAGGCGGGTCAAAACAGCTACTAGGACGAAGAAGTTTCGGGAAACGGCAAAAACTGAAAACAATGCGCAGCACTGCATTTATTGCGATAAAAAATATTTAAGCATTTCAAATGTCATTGCAGTCGCACCGAGCAAAGTT